ACGTAGGGACGACGAGATAGACCGAGACCGCAGAAATCACGATGCGTTCGTACGAGCGAGGAGGCTGGACGACTACCCGCGGAGCCCCCGCTATGGGACTGACCGGGAGAGGGGCGACTCCCACGGCCGATGGGAGATAGATCAGGTCCGACGAGACGGATATAGGGGAGGTAGATACGAGAGATCGGGCCAAGATGGGTATAGGGATGACAGATACGAGAGGTTTAGCCGAGATGTCTACCGAGGTGGTAGGTATGAGAGAGGAGATCGAGACTGGGAACGACGAGATGGGTCGCACGGACGGTTTGATCGCGGGGAAGACGTGAGAGGACAGAGCGACGAGTCGCGAGGATGGTACRACCGAGGAGACCGACGCGATGAGTCACGAGGACATTATGACTCGAGGGACCGCCGAAATGACTCGCGAGGATAGTATGAGCAAGGAGGGTCTGAAGGAGACAGACGCAACGATTCGCGCAATCGGAATGAGAAAGGGGGATATGGTGTCTCATCAGAACCATATCCAAAGTCGCCTGACCCCAACGCGACCAGAAAATCGATGTCTAGGGGGGCGGACGACAAGGTGTCTACTCCCAGGAACTCATGTGTCTACTGTAGGGGAGAGAACCATATCAAGAGGGATTGCCCGGACCTCAGACGGGCAATAGAAGAGGGACTTGTCGTGCTTGACGACCGCAAGTACGTCAAGTGGGCAGATAATCTCGGAGATGTATCGATGTTCCCTTCGATGAAGGAGAATATCGAAGCAAGGAGAATAAAGACAAGAAAAGGAATGGAGCCGGTCAGAAGTCAGAGCATCAAGATAACCTTTGAAGGGGATATGGCAACCACACCGATAAGGGTGGCAGCCACCAAGTCGTTGAAAGGGTCTACATCGAAGAAAACTGACACGGACTACGTGATGACAGAGAGAGACGGGCAGCGAATTGATGGAGAGGAGGTTATCCTTTCGCCGCGGAAACGGGGAGTGAAGAAGTTTTTAATGAAGAGTTCGCTGGATGAGATTGACACGGTCGAGCCGCTAAGGAGGGCTCTTCGACAGTCCATGCAATGCTCTATTCTGGAGTACCTAGCGGCATCGAAGCCGGCTCGCGATGAGTTACAGATGATCACGCGCAAGACTCGCATACGTCTATCAGAGGAGGAGCAAGGGGCCCCTAAGGCGGAAGCTTCTACAGTAGCAGTGACGGGGGTGACTGCAAGAGCGGATCGCATGGCAACAGTCCTTCTAGATGGAATGGAAGGCGTGCCTCCAGACAAATTTTATATACTTGGTAGTGGGGCAGTGGAAACAATTATAAACGATGGAGCGGTACTTGATGCTGTGATCGATAACGGCAGTGAGGCAGTCATCATAGACGAGGACCTGGTAGTACAGGTTGGACTGGGCCTCGATAGATCATACCTATTCGAGATAGAGACTGCTGATGGTAGAAAGCAACAGATCACAGAGGTTTGTCAGAAGGCAGCCATTGAGGTCCAAGGGGTACGAGTGACCCTGCCTGTCTTTGCAGTCAAGAACTGCAGCTCTGAC